ATATATATATATATATATATATATGTGTGTATATTCGTTAAGTTGCGCAGAATTTTCTCTTATCTTCTTTGAGTCGTTTGTAAACCTGTACATAATCGTCTTTGTATTTTTTTCTTGTGTATCTCTCTCGCTTTAGACGTGGGTCTCCTCATCATTATACATTGACAGACAGCATCATCACATTTATACATACAAAAATTGGTCCCCTACTCCTCTTCAGTCCTCATGGTGAATTTGCGCGTTTATTAGCGCGCATGTGCATGTGAAAAGAACATGATTAAAAACATCAAATTTAACCCATTCGGTTCCATACGACGTCGCCAAAAGTATGTTTTTTCGTTATTATTATTTTATGTTCTTTTCTAAAGATTAGATTAGATTAGATTAGATTTGATGCTGCTACTGCTGCCGCTTTATTTTATAAGAGAAAAAAAAAGTTGTGAGGAGACCCACGTTTGCGCTAAATATCATTTCCGTTTCGGAAAGATGATATATAATAGTTAGTTTATTTTCATTATTATTGTTATTGATTGATTTTTATTTTTATTTCGAAAGTCAGATACAAATGAGCATTATTTGATCATAGAGTGTAATCCCTAATTGTGTTTCTATTGGGAAATAATATAAAAGTGGTCCGCTATTATGTTCTATAATCCGATAATGAAACTGTTATATATTGCGTCCTCTGTAATACTGAGATTTATTCTTTTTCTTCTTCTTATTCTGATATAGCTATTAATTTGAAGGGCGAAAACGAAACGCATCTTCTTCTTTCTTCTCCTCTTTTTATCCGTTCCTAATCGGATTAGAGATATAACTTTCCTTTCTTTTCTTCTGTTTCTACGTCTTTTTACTCAGTTTTTTTTCTCGACTTGCAATGCCGGTGTTTGGCTTGTGTTAGATATAAAGAAAAGGAGAGAAGAAGAAGAAGAAAAAAAGTGTTCAACGTCGATGTCGCGCCTCCGTATTTTGTCGTCAGTTTTTTTTCTTCTATTCCAGACTAGTTATTAGCTAAATCATGTTAGTGAACAAGAAAGAACGCAAACAGACGAATATGCGAACAGAAAAAAACCGGCTAAGCTTATGCCTTTCTTGTTCGTCGGGTTTGCTTTTGATATAATGTTCTCGTTGGTAGCGAGAGACTAAAAAAAATCAAGAGAAAAAGAACATGTCGCTCTTTCTCGTGTTGTTTCTGCCGGTGGTAGTAAGGATGATGATAGTGATGAAGCTTTGACTGTTACTGCCGTCATCATCTCAATATTGTCGGGCAAGCGCGCGCACAAAAAAAGAAGAAGAAGAAGAAAGAGAAGAATTAATAATAACTTTTTTTCTTGTCGACGGCAACGATGGACCATGGAATCCGAGCGGCATCCGTCGTCATCATCATCATCATCATCAGCATCATTTTTTTCGCATCAGCATGACTTTTCAAGTCTGGTCTCGTGGCCACATCATTGGCAGCCGGAATCGTTTGAAATAACAACGAATAGTAGTTCTACTGCTTCCTCAGACATGACGCAGGTTGTGCCTGAACACGTGGTTTGTGCTAAACTCGGTGGTGGGAATAATAGTTCTCGAAAAGATAATAGTAGTTTACTAAAAAATCGACCACAACGTTCGAATTCAGCAACATTAAGTACTATATCCGTTACATGTGATACAGATTCATCTTCAAGATTACGTAATCCTCATCCTCAACAATCTCCACCAAATAATTTATCTACTATGCTTAATACAACGAATAATAAAGCTGCATCACATTCAACATCAGCTTTAACGAATGTCTCAATTAATTCTTCAAGTACATTTATAAATCATCCACAATATAAAACATCTATGTCAACATCATCTGAAATGAATATTGCACATGAAAAATCAAATATAGTTTCATCCGCATCAACAATGTCAATACCAAATAAACATTCGATTAAAACAACAACAACTGGTGCTATTGGAGGAACATTAGCATCAACAAGAAATCTATCTATAAAACATAAATCAACTTCATTTGATGATCATCGATCAACACGTGGGATCGGAAAAAGTGTTCTCGAACATCTTGTCTTTGTTTTTCCGGAAAATGTTCGTCGAATACTAGCAGGACCAAAAAAGTAACCAGCAAATAGAAAGTTCTTCTAACTTGGTTTTTTTCTCTCTCTCTCTCTTCTTCTCTTTCCACATCTACCCATCGATCATTAAAGATATATTGATTTATTACTTGTTTTTCTGTTCTAGTCTAACTGTGCGTACCGACGAAGGCCGCCAACCTGTTGAACCTATTGATTTAGGCGAGCCGTAAGTAGTTTTTTTTTCTTCTTCTCCTTCTATTTGATTAAATAAATCATTTATTATTCTCGATGTATTTAGACCATCTATCGACGAGCTTAAAAGTTGGTCTGAATCATTTGACAAATTAATGATGAGTGCTGGTAAGTAAAATAAAATCAAAAAAAAAAAAGATATTTTTCGACCGAAAACATAATGATCTTATCGATTAACAGAATTTCCTGTTTGGAAACTTCGAAAATAATTCCACTTATTCTGTATTTATTTCTCATTAAAAAGAAATAACGATTAACATAATCTTAAATATTCTATTTTCCTTTTCTTCTCTTTAGCTGGCCGTCATTATTTTCGAGAGTTTTTACGATCAGAATACAGTGAAGAAAACTTTTTATTTTGGATGTCCTGTGAATCATTAAAAAATGAACAAAATCCGGATATTATAGAAGAAAAAGCACGATTAATATATGAAGATTATATATCTATTCTATCTCCTAAAGAGGTAAGCAAAAAAAAACAGTAAAATTCATCAATATTTATAATATTTATATTCAATTGTTTTTAGGTAAGTTTAGATAGTCGTGTGCGCGAAGTAATTAATAAAAATATGGTCGAACCATCTCCACATACATTCGATGAAGCCCAATTACAGATTTATACACTAATGCATCGAGATTCTTATCCACGTTTTATTAATTCACAAATGTACCGGCGATTAATACGTAGTGAAGACATTAAAACTTAACTTTCAACATCGCCAACCCGGTTTTCCTCAAAAATAATTTTCTTTAAATTGTTTTCGTTTTTTTTTTCGTTTTCTTTTTTTCTATCCTAAAAACATTACTTTTCTTTTCTTTTTGTCTTCACGACACATTCCACAGTGTGGACGCACCATTGTCGCGTTTATGCGCCGACGTAGAACCAAACGAAGTTTTATTATATACAAATGAAAATCAAATCAGATGTCTACTACATCAACGCCCGCTATTTGAATCAAAGTATTTCTATATATGTATATTTTTCTACAGAATATTTCGTCATAACTTAGACATATAATTTTCTCATGCGCGCCCGCGACATTCGATTTCCCGTCTCTCAACTGTGATGAATTCATCTTTTTCTTCTCTACTTCTCTCTCTCTTGTCTTTTGTTGTGTATGTATGTGTGTATGCGCGGTTTTTTCTCTTCTTCTTCTTTTTTTTTCTTCTTAGTCGTCTCCGTCTGCATTTAAACGAACAGTGACATTGAATGCTGCATGTATGTGTTTGTTTGTTTGTTGCTTTAAAACGCAAAAAGTATCTTCGAAGATCTTAGATTGATGGCATTCATGTTCTTTCTTTCTTTTTTGTATAGCTAATTGTTGTTCTTTCTTTCTTTCTCTCTTTTTTTTCTACATCACTGTGTTGACTTCTATTTGTCAAAAACCAAATTTTGGGACAGTATACAAGAAAAAAAGAAAATATGACAAATACTTTTTTTGAAAGTTTTTGAAAATACTTCGACAAATAAGATAAATGAAGCAAAGTAAATGATCCGATAAAGTTACAATAATATCAACTAATCTTATCTAAGATAATCAGAAATGTTTTATTTATTTTGGATTTAAATATAAAATTCTATTAAAAAAATAATATATATATATATATATATAGAATGTTTTATTATTATATTTGTTTATTTTACATGATATTGATTGTTTATTTATTGGGTAAGAGAAAAAGTCATGATTGAGTTTCATATCTTATATTTAGCATTTCCGGTTAGCAAGGGAAAACAATCCCTAAATAGAAAAACTACATTTCATCTTGAATATTTGATATATACTAGTAAACTGATGATATTTATATATATTCCATGTTGTCATTGCGACCTTATCAATTATTTTTGTAGTATATCTATATAATTATCTCAAACCTGCACCAATATTGAATTTAGATTATATGAAACTATACGGATTTTCGTCATACATAAATTCAAAGTAATATTGATAATAAATATTTAGTTTCTCTCTGTATTTTCTTTAAAAAAATATGTTCGCTATTTCAAAGTATTTACTTTATTTTTCATTGAATATAAAAAAAACAAAAAATCTGACAGGATTTTTACATATTGCAAAAGAAGAGTTTATTTTATTTAATTGTTCGTTGATTGGAAATACTTGGGATCAATTGAACAACTAGAATTGTACACAATAGGAAATGATATTAACAATAAGTAAATATAACTGACTTTTCTTTGTCTAGATCAAATCGAACACTGCGACGTTGAATTGATCTTGTAGATGAAGTTTGTATAGAAACGTCAGTTTTCTTATCATTATTGACCTGAATAAGAATAGTAAAAAATACTTGAAATTCATTTTGACTTTAAGTAGTTAATTAAGTATTCGTAAAAAAAAATTCCAAATGAAATAAATATAAATAGCTTAATAGAAAAAATAGACTAATATTGATAGAAACAAAAAAAAATCTATTCCTATGAAATATTAATCGTAAGCAAATAACTTTGTTCCTTTTATATAGTTACACATGATGAAAAGAAATACTTGGGTGCATACTCATTTCCGTCCAAATCTTTTTTTATTTGATTTCTTATCAAAGATTATTTATAGTTGAGAGTGTTTTTTTCCTAATAGTCATTGTCATTTTTAGGTGAAGAAAGACAAATATTAGATTTGAAGTCAGACTAGAAAAACGTCTGAGAAGTTTTTAATGAGCATGAGGAAACCATAATTATACATGATTTTCCATGTAGATCATTTTTGTTATTTTGATTACAACTGTCTCATCTCAAATGTCAAGAAAATGTTTATGTATATCAATTTGTAAAGCACAGTTTGTTGTTAATTATATTTATCTTTGGATATTATTACAAATGATCGATTTCTATTCTATGTTAATCATATAATTTCAAAAAAACGAGAGAATACTTCTTATCTCATACAAAAGAATATTATTTCTAATCCGAAAAAAAAATTTTGTGGATATATATTTGGTTCAAGAATCAAATTTTTATTGAATTGTCTCGAATGAGAAAATATCTTTTGACATTAAGTAGACTTCGATAAAACATGAAAAGTATTCATACTCTGCAATATCAAGTTTTCCATATATATATGAAAAGAGAAATTATAATGATAAATAATTGTATTCTAGAGTACATTAAAGTATTTTAATGTAAAAAATTTCTCATATTTAAGAGCTTGATCAAGTTTTTTATTAATAACACTTCTATATAGTGTTCATCTACATATTGAGCACTTAAAATTATTCATTTTATTTATAGTATCATTTTAAACTCTATTGATGCTTGATGATTGATTGAGAGTGGGTAAACTATCTACTCGCTTTTGCTGTCATGTCCTTTCTTTTGTCTTTTATAATTGATGCTATGAGAATCACTCTATTTTACTCTTTGTCTTTTGTTAGACTATTAATATTCTAAAATAAAAGAGGGTTTTTCAGTGCATTATGAACTGATAAATAATGAACAAAGTAATTCATACGAGAATATATAAGTTTAAGAAATGTGTCATATTATAATGGTTTAATGTTCTCCAGAATAGAATTATTTATATTTTCTTCCATCTCTCTTTTCATGTATACGTCTGAACAATTTGATATCTCAAAAAATAGAAGACTGGAAATATAAATTCTTTTCATGTATTTCATACTCAATAGAGAGATCTGCTTATCGTCGAAAAACAAAAGGAAGCTAAAATGTTTAATTACCTAAATACAAACCCTCGTACATACTCAGAGAAAAATGTATTCATCAATCAAAACTCACATTTAATGAATATTTCAATTGTTGTGCTGTACATTCATCAATCAATTGTTTCTTTTCATCCATTAATTGTTTTATAGTATCATTGAGATGACCAATATGTAATTGATAATCATGAATCATATCATCCTTTGCACATAATGATTTTGTTTTATCTGATAACTAAAAAAAGAAAATTTCTCTTTCACTCTTCAAACTTCTAAATTTACTTTTTCTTGACAAATTTTTAAATGTTGTTGTAATTTTCTAATAACTTCACTACCTTCATTCAATCGAATACTTGCATCTTGAACAAGTATTTGAAGATTTCCTAATTTTTCTTCATATTCTTTTTTTCGAATTAATTTTCGTTGTTTATCCGAAGTAATTTTTAATTTTAAATCATAATTTTCTTTCCGTAAAGCAATTAATTGTTCTTGTTGAAGATTATTCAATGTCTGATAACGTTCTTGAATATTATTTTCAGTCATCTAGAGAATATAAATTTTCTTCACATACAAATTAAAACTCAATCTACTAATTGTTTCGTATAGGGCAAAAAATTTAATTTTCTATCAGTTCCATTATTCATTGCAGGTATCAATTAACATGGTGCGCATCTAATAATTTCATCACCATCATTAATCATTTTGATTGGAGAAAAAAATAAATAGATATTTTTCGACTATGTATATACATACTTGGAATGAACGAAAATATCATTCGTTCAGTGAAATAAACAACTTCAATAATGATATACACATCTTACTATGATCAACAAGTTTTAAACGAAATTAGAGTAAGAAATTATGAAAAGCTAATATTCTTCTATATTTTGTTTTTAGAATGATACTAACACAGTAACTAATGCTAGTAATACAAATCGTCCAGTAACTAAACCTAGTAAACAGTTACCGGAAAAAGCCGTTCATCTTATGAATACATGGTATGCTGAACATGAAGATAATCCATATCCAAATCGTAATGATTTGGATTATTTAGCAACAAATGGTGGCATTAAAGAATCTCAAGTAAAAGCATGGTTTTCAAATAAACGTAATCGAACACAAAATACACATCCGAAACGTGCAAGACGTTATCTCGTACGAAATCAAACACAACAAAATCCATTGGTGTGGAATGAACCTCAAAAAATTCATGTAGCGGATGAACTGGAACAACGAGCACGTATAATACATCAACAACAACAACAACAAATTCATTTAAATACTCAGCTATCATCAATACCTCCAACAAACTTGCCATGGTTGCCATCAAATTCTTATGATTATTATCATTCTTATTAGAAAAAAACAAAAACATTAAAAGATTTATTTGTATTTTATTTTGTTCGAGAAAAAGAAAATAAAAAATTATCATAATCTGAAATATAAAAAAATATTTTTTCTAATAGAAATTAATTTAACAATTTTGAAAGAACGACTAATCGTAAATATGAGTACACCATATTGAAAATTGAGAAGCGACGGGCGCGTTGAATACTTAGTGTTACATGTATCTAACAAATACGAAAAATCTTGCGAATGTATTTCTAAACTGAATGATAATCACAATTTATATTCCGGATTAAGATATGACTAAAACCATTTATTAATAGAACAAAAAAAGGCTAGAAGAAATATTATACATCTCAATTTTATTATCGTTTTGACTGAATAATTTTTTTAATTTCAGTATTATCTCTAAATGTTGCACTCATTACTTCACCAGTGGTTGGTGAACTATGATATGTATTAATCCAGTCAATAATAGCTGCTCGTTCATATGTATAACCATCACTAGCAATAACTGGATCAACAAATTGTTGTTCAGACAATGGACATATCAAACTTGGCGTCATTTGTTCATCGGAGAAGGATGAACCTGTAGTTGGCAATGGTGACGATGGTGGATCTGAATCAAATGAAGTACTGACACTGATAATCGATTTAGTTGTATGATAATGTTTAATTTTTTCTGTTCGTGCTTGTCGTTGTGGTTGATCATGAGCGGAATTTATAATAGATTGTGTTTCATTTGTATTACGACTATTTCGTTGGACATCGTCTTTACTATTGTTGGATTCAGTTGTGGAAACATCTGGTTGATATGAACTTTGTTCTAATGATGGTTGTCGTTGTTTTTTATGAGGATAGGATTGATTTGCTATTTTTGATTGAAATATGGAACACATATCTTGCTTCTGAAGTCTTTTCGCCATGTCTAAAGGAGTTTCTTTGTCACTGTTGAAAAGATCTAGTTGAAAATCAAAACTATCAAGTAATTCTTGTAAAACTCGTGCATCACCATTCTCTACAACATAATGTAGAAGAAAATAAGGTGAATAGGGTGGTTTTTCATTAACCAATATTTTATTTCTAGTAAGTATACTCATAATCAAACGCCAATTTTTATTTTTTGCCTCTTTTATTAATCTATCCTGTTCATATAAATGATGAATATATGTATACATTGCTGGATTTTTAGATTGTCGTTCTGCAGCAATATCAAATAGAGTTTTACCATCGTTTGTTCTTGAATGAATATTAATTGGATTATTAGAGAAAAGGACAAGAAGACTTTTTAACATATCAACATTACCATTATAAACAACTTGATGAGCAATAGCATACCGACGTCCGGGTAATATAGCAAAAAAATCATTTGGATGGAAGAGAATATATTGATAGACTTTATCCCATTCACGATTTGAACGTGCCCAATTAGTGACTTTTTCAAAAGACATCGGATCATCAGGAAGATTATTATCATTTGATGCCATAATAATCTTTTCTGTAGTTTATATCTTGAATAAAAATGAATAATTTAAATTTTGAAATAAAAGTATCTAAACTATCATATAATGTGATTTCGAGTTAAGTCACATGGAGATATAAAAAAAAACCTTGAATAAAAACAAGTCTTGTCAAGTTTATCTTTGATTTCTCTTTGCATTATAAATGATGATAACAAATAGTCGTCTTTTATGAGTCACTTTTATTATTCTATGATGATTTTGATCTCGTTTGTACGTAGAAAAATACGATGCTCTACTTAAATTAGGTAAACATCTAATTGTTCTAATCGAATATGAATCTATGTGATGAATTGTAGAGATTGTATTTAGCTGACTGCAAGTTACAACTTCCTTTTATTGATGATATAAAATAATGACGAAGATGAGTCACTACAAGTGACTGTTATTTTACCAACTATAATATAGAACGAATAAGTAATAAGTTTTGCAAAGGTTTTTTCCACTATGGAATTCCGATTCTCCCAACTAAGGTCGAAAGTAAAAATATCGAAGTAAAAAATGCCGAAGTATAAAAATGTCGAAGTGAAAAATGTCGAAGTATAAGAATATCGAAAGATAAAAATATCGAAGAAAAAAAATCGAAATAGGAAAATGATAGGATGTTGGGTGTTCGAAACAACTTAATGGTAAAAATAAAGAAAGACGTTTGAGGGTGGGTGTGAGTATCGGTGTAAATATAGACATTCATCTATATTTAGCCACACCCACACAGTCCCCCACATCCACACCCACATCCACACTCACAGCCACACCAACACCCACCCTTCGACATTTTTGAATTTCGACTATTTTCAATTCGACATTTGTCTAATTTTATTTCAGCATTTTTACCCTTCGATCTTTTTACACTTCGACATTTTCTCTTTTTGACCAAAGTTGGGATTACCAAATTCCGTTACTTATTAAAACAATAGAGTGGATACTATAATACTTCGAATATTCATCTTCATAGCATCGTTTATATATGAGATGTTAGATTTTGTAATTATAAAATATTTCCTAGCAATCAATTAGTAAACTATGATTATTTTGAGATCCAATTTAGAAAAACAGGACCTAAACTCAGTAAGAATTTTCTACTTTCCGAATAGCAGGGGAACCTTCAGCCATCATAAAAATAATAATCTATACGTACTACAAGAATATATATTCCTTTCTGACTATTGTTAATTGAACTACAGCTTGCCATTAGTCGGCTATATTGAAGATTACATCATAAATGTATGTTCAGTTTAATAAGTTATAATATATATCTACGATAAATAAAAATAATATTAAAAATTCTATCTAAAAAAAAGTAAAATATCACACGTTGGATATTTATTTTTGAGATTGATTAAAAACATTCATTCTTTCATTTGAAAATCATATCACAGATTAAAAAAAACTCTTGATTATCAGTTCATGTCATGTAAATACTTAATTTCATTCTCGAACAATACTATTTAAAATTTGTTGAACTATTAAATTTGGATTTAAATTTTTGTGTGCAAGCTTTTCGTTAGTCATAGGTGAACAGTTACTTTTTTTAAACCAATTTTCAATCGCTGAACGTTCATATGTAAATCCATCCGCTGCAACAACTAAAAAGAAAACAAAAATAATATTATGATTTACAGAATATTAGTACTTACCAGGATCTGTAACTGTAAAACCCGTAAGCGAGCATTTAAGGAGATTTTGTATAAAACCAACAGAATATCCTACACCCGACTGATTTTGATTACTTGCTTGTTTTGGTTTTGGTTGCGTTTTTTCTACGTCAGCATCTACTACTTTTCGAGGTTTCTTATTTTCTGCTATACCTGAAATGAAGTTTGAGTCTTGAAATATATTATGTTGTTCCATAAGAACATTTATTTTATTTGTTTGTTGTAGAGCTGTGTCTGATGGTTCATATAATTTATCATCTATTTCATCATCATCAAAATATGATGGATATTCTTGTTCGATATAATCAGCAAACACGTTACTACCTTCTTCGCGAGCAATAACATTAATTTTCTTTCGATCTGCTCGTAAAGTAAAATCAAATTTAAAATTTTGAATTTTTTTAAATGTTTGAAATTGATCAATATTATTATCAGCTGCTATATGATGAATTAAATAGAATCGACGATAAGGTGGTTTTTCATTTCCGTAACTTGGATTTTCTTCTATAATAGAATAACATTTATCCCATTCACAATCTTTGGCGTAAGCAAGCATTTCATCAAGTTTAACTAATCGTTCAATACGTTGTAACATTTCCTTTTGATCAGGACGTAATTTAGCGATATCTAATACTGTTTCATTTTTACTTGTTGGTGCTAATAAACGAAAAGCTGTATTTGATTTTTGTAATGCAAGTAATTGTTCAAGTTGATTAACATCACCAGAGTATACAACATGATGAAGAATAGCCCATGCTCGGCCTTCTGGAATTTTAACTAACCATTCAGGATGAAGACTAAGTGCCATAAGAATTCCGGTAAAATTTCGAAAATATTTTGCATCTTCACATGTTGTCTGTAAAGATAGAGTATTACTCATAATTTATCTAAAGATAGATATAAAACTGAAATAATGTACATTTATATTATTAATAATAGAAAAAAAATATTGGTTTTAAATAGATGTTAAAAATAATTATGTAAATTTTCAAAAATAAAAAGCAATAGCAAAATATAGATGAAGTTCAAACAGCTAAATACTAATTGATATTTTCATCAGTGATTTCAGCTTTTTTATCCGATATCTTAGCGTCATTATTTAATTCTGCCAGTGATTTCAGAATTGATTTTATAGCATGATTTGGTTTTACTTCTTGATTTTCAAGTTCTTGATTTGTCATTGGACTTCGATTGGATTGTTTAAACCAGTTAAGAATTGCTTCTCGTTCATAGGTAAAACCATCAGCAGCGACAACTATAAAATTAATAAACTATTATTAAAATATACAAAACCTATTGATCTTATCTATCATTTCTACTAAATTTTATCTTCAACAATCAAAAGTTTAGTTTCGCACCGCTGGATTTTTGCCAGTTGGCGAATGTTTAGTGTGCGTTCACGACTCCCTAAAGACGTTAGCATTAGAACCTTTATAGACTTTAAGCCTTCTGGCTATTCCAGTGTTTTATCTAGCGGGTGAGCTAAGTAGGCGGCGCTCATTCGAAATTTTGATTCGCCCGCCCAAACCACTAGACTTAGACAAAGCACTGTTAGGCGGCGCCCACTCAGAATTATCATTTCGCCCACTCGAAAAAAGAAACCTGAATAAAACATGGGGTCATTTTCAGAATCTTTTCCAACTTCTAGTCAAAGAGTTTAAAAATGAACAAGATCTACAACAGGAACTATCAAATGCGTTCACATCCTTTTTGGGAAGCAATGGTCAGAGTTCTTTGACAATTGACAAAATTCGGAAACTCCTTTTATTTAGAATAAAAGCATATGAAGTTAAAAAGAAGATACTATTTTTGTATAAAATATTCAAATGATTTTACCTGGATCTCTTAGAATTCCTTTTGTAATGCAACATGTAACAGCAGAATTTAACAGATTATCTGCTGAAAATCTTTTGATATTTTCCGTAACTATTCTTTCATATTCCATTTGTTCTTCTTCTGTCATTGATGGTGATACAGTTAGTTTTAATTTTTGGTTATTTTTTTCTTCATCATTATTATTATTATCGTCAACTGAATTTTGACCATGAATTAAACTATGTGTATATAATTGACCGTGAGATGAATCTTGATCATGATTAGAAATTAATATCGGTTCATTTACTGATAAAAGTACATCTCCAAATGAATTTGTAGTTGAATTTAATGAAAATATCATAATACCTGGATCATCATGAAAACCTTGACTAAAATATGGTTGAGTGGTTGCAAGTGGTAGATGAGAATCGTCTATTGTCAATGATAAAGTGGAATTATTATCACTATTAGTTTCACTTATTGCATCAGCATTTGGCAAATGATTTTCTATATATTCAGCAAATTCAATATGATTATGTTCACGTGCAATTTGATTGATTGTTTTCCCATCAGCAATTAAATCAAGTTTAAATTCACATATATTACATAAATCTTTAAATATATTAAATTGACCTGTTAATGCAAGAAAATGTACTAAATAATATTTTCTATATGGTGGTTTTTCATTAACAATATCGGATTGTTGACGAAGAAATTGTTTTACTAATTCCCATTTACCATCTCTTGCATTATTTAATATTTGATCCATAGCAACAAGACGTTCAATACGACGTAACATTTGAGGATGTATATGTGCACGTTCACTAGCTACTTCACGTATTGTTTTATCATCTAATGCTTTATGTAGAAGACGAAAATCTTGATTTGAAATTTCATAACTTAAAATTTCATTAAAACGTGGAACATTACCACAATAAACAATCTGATGTAACATTGTCCAACGACGACCTGTATAATTTTTATTATTAAAATAAATCTTTTAATATTTTAGTTTTATTTTCTTTTTGACATGAACAAACCTTGTGGAATACGAGTTAACCAATCTGGATGTTCAGATATTGCCGAAATCACTTTATTCCAATGATAATCATTTTTTGCACATTCATATGCTTCCATAAAAGTATGAATCTGATTAGGTGGTAACGATGCTGTGTTTGATACTAGAACTTCTACAGGTGTTAACGATTGGGTTGGAGCTGGTGTTAGTGGTTCTTGTGCCATTGCTGGACTTTTATTCCTTCTAAAAAAAATAAAAAATAAAAAAATAAAGTTCATTTAATTGAAAACGTACTTAAACTTCGACAACAATTGGAACATAGTGAGTGTATAATCAACGTTTGTATGTTTTTTTTCCGCGTTAATTGTCAAATGTACAGGTAAAAAAAAGCATAGGAAGAAATAATGAATACAGTCATAGTTTAATGAGAATATTGGTTGTTTGAAACAGGCGACTGATTTTAAACAACGATAGTGTGTCACATGGTGATCGTGTCTGAGTACAAAAAAAAATCAAACACTGTTCTCTTTCGTTTTACTCTATTGGCTTAAGTAATTTTGTATTTCGCTGAAAAAAGAATGTTTCTACGCTGTTTACTTTTTTCGAAGAACAGAGCATTGAAGTGTTTTTTTCAAGTCTAGAATTTATAGTTCCTACTATTCACTCGTTTCATATAAGAATAAAAGATACCATAACGATGTTTTGTGATCAGATAATCGATAGAGGGAGATGAAAAATTCTTTAAATGATTCACATATGTACTTGATACACTTTACCTTGTCACATGGTTGTATATCGATTACGTTTCTTCTATTTTTACATAATCAACGATGTAAACTTACCTATAAAGACATTGAATCAAAGTATAATATTTTTGAAAATTTAAATCTTGATTCGAAAGAGAATATCATGCTATTGAATAATTCAATTGATTGCATCGTAAATAGACATGTATTAATCTGTATATTATAAAAATATTATTCATAGGAAAGAAAATTTTAAAAATTTACTTGATAGAAGATCAAATATTGTGTTATTATTAGCTTTTGGCTCATGAATTAGGGTGACAAAGTTTTGTTTTCTTTTATACATCCTAGAAAAAAAACATACTTCAATATTGAAGTGTGACTAGTTCATATTCATGATGTCAAAAAAACAAGGACAGAGTAATATAAATAACTTCATGAAATAGTTCTAATAAGAATAGATGTGATATTTTAATTTATATTCATATTTTTGCAGTAAACAATTTGTTTTTTTCTAGATTAAATCGTTCATGAAAGTGTTTGACTAGTGATCAGGACATCCTTTTGTAAAACAAATTGTACATTTAGTGTATAATTTTATTTCATGTACAAATGAAGTGTAATGGACAAAAAATTCATACAAAAAGGAGTGATTTTAAAAAAACAACTATTTTTTGCAATAACAATATCGTTCATTACTATATTTTTAACACTATCGTCATCATAAAATAAGATCAGTTTTAATAGAAAACGAAACATAAACATCACTTACTTCTGTTTGTTCATCAAGTTACATAGTCAATTCTCTTGATTATAATCACGAAGATCTAAAAGAACAATAAATGAAATCCACTTTTCAAAACAGATATGAATATCAATGGAGTTTTTGTTCGATATTTTCAATTAGATACTCATGTTTCAATACAAACATCCTTAATCCTCTTGACTCCTGGCGATGTGAAGACTACATCCAAAGGTATTTATTTGATGAACATATCAATAGTATATTTTTAACGTATGTGTGTCGTCGGGAACGAAAAAGTTAATAATAATATTTTTTTTCTCTCAATCAAAAAATAGAATTATTTTAACAACATGTTTTGATTTTTCATATTACTATCTATAGAAAACGAGAACAATCTTTCAATAGACCACATTAATAATACTACCTTTCTTGAATGAATTGCATAGTTTATTGTTATGTTGTATGATGGTAACATCGAAGGTTTTTGTTGAATTCTCTCTTGTAAAGGTAACTGAAAAAGTTGCTAAAAGTTACGGAAGAATGTAACGAATATTTATTGTAGTATATCATACTTCGTTAGTTAACAAACGTTTGTTGACAAAGACGAATTGTTGACGACATTTATAATAAACAAAAATATATATGTAGATATCTAATCAATTAACTTTAAAAATGTAACAAATATATATCGTATTTTTCTTCTCAATCATATCTGAACGTGCAACGTAAATCAATGTTCAAAATACAAAAAACAAAAAAATAAAGTTTCCTTATATCTGCGATAGTAGTTATCTGAGAGAGAGAGAGCGAAGAACAAGCAAAAAAATAAAGTCAAAAAAGAGTAAATACAACTTTCGAAAAAAAAGAGAAACCGAAATGTTTTTACTATTAATCATCGGGTGATGTTCTTGGCATAATTTTTCTCTGTTGATAATAATTTTCTTTTCCAACTTTTAATCGTCGTCGACGTCGTTTTGTTCGTGGAATTGAATTAATATTATTACTTGTTATTGTCGGTTGTTGTTGCTGTTGAGTATACATTGATTGAAGAAAATCATGTGTTACAACAATACATTTTGTAAATGATGGTTTAGGATTAATATCAGGTATTATTTGAACAATTTGATGAGGCGGTGTTGCTAATGGTTCATGTTGCATAGCAAATAATTGCTCAAGTGCAGAATTGAAATCTTCATTATCATTTGTTATCAATGGTGGTACTGATGGTGCCGGTGTATCAGGTAAATCATGTTGATAATCCATTGGTGGTGTTTGACTAATTAAATCATTTAAATTAACATTTAAAAAATCATCATCAAAAAATAAATCATTTGAATTATTGTTTGCAATTTGTGGAGATAAAAATGTTTGATCAAGACATTCTAAATATAGATTATATGATGAGAAAAAAAGATTATGCTGTTTCGATTACAAACCATTTTGTTTAGAGTAATTAAAAAATGTTTGAAAATCAATAACTTCATTATCATTTTGATATTGATCGGAATTTTCATAACTTTCATAAAGACGTGAACGTAAATCATTTAGATGTTTATTTTCATCCAAAAAACTTAGGAATGTTTTCGACATTTGTTCATTTTCAAGATATTCTAATATTAATAAAGCTTCATCTTTTGCTGATAGTTTTAAACGATTATTATCAGCCATTTGATTGTTTTTCGTCGAAAGAAATTCTTATAAAAATTTGTACACCAATGTTTCGTAGAAAAAAAATATAGAATTAATTATCTAAAGAAAAATATATTAATATTTATATTGAAATTTTTTGAAAATAAATCAAATGACAATATTGTTCTCAGTCTAAGAACAATGTACGTTAGAATACAGCTGTTCAATAGCAAACAAATCAAATTAGGTGTTATTATAGATGGCAGTCTAAGATTAGATAATATGAACATTATTTTATTGCGTAAAATATTTAACAGATTAAGTAACGAATGAGATTAGTGTGGAAGAGATAAATTTCGAGTAGATATTCAGATTTTTGCAATGTTAGAAAGATTATCCTAGATCGAGATAAGAACTCATGATGTCTATTAGAAGATCAAAGTTGATTTCTACGCGGTGCAATCATAAATATATAGTTCAACGATAGTTTATTTCGACCTGTAAGTTCTTCATCTAAGTGAAGAAAAACAATTAGTTGCAACATAAAAATTTGATTTATTTCTTTATCCAATTATTTAACAATGATTATTAATGATTTCTAATACAAAATATTATTAGCATGAAAATTTTCTTTTAGAATTGTAATTAATATTTTCCTGTTTTTTAAAAAAAGTCTGCGACAATAAATATGTCACTTTAGTTTTCATTTATGATAATATTATACAAAATTCATAATATATATAACAGAATGTTCGGTAGTGTTTTAAACAGTTATAAATGACGCATTTATATTTTCTATTATTTTGCTCTACTTTTATTACGTACATCGATTATTAGATATATTCTCTATATAATGCGTTCTTTCGAAAATATTCTCGATTTTTCTATGCGAGCTCGAAAATCTATTATTTTCTCTCAACTTAGAAAGTTCAATGTGAAATAAATTCAAATGTTAAATAAATATGTCTATATTATATATACAGAAGCTCGGAATCATAGAAGAACTGTAAAGATTTAACTGACGATGTGATAGACTATTAATTTATTTTCACCGCAAATCTTCTGTATTTACATCCTAAATTTGAATATTATGATTTCATGATCTTTTACTAGTTTGAACAGCAAAGCAAACATCATAAATAAAAATAAAAATCAGATACGCATCTGTCTACTTGCTACATTTTATTATACTTTTTCTTTTACAAAAATGAAACTTCGTGTAACATTAGTTTTCATGCTTTAAAACCTATCCACCAAGACAATATATAGTAGATATACATCAAACTCAATTATATGTATTCTCTTACATCTCTTCTTAGTATTGTCTAGTAATAAACTCAACCTATTTTGGATAGGTGTGGGTAGTTGTGAGCGACTGTAGGTGGGAGCGGATGTAGGTGTGGATGGGTGTGGGTAGACGAGAACGGGTATAGACGCAAGTAGTTATATCATTTCACATCCACACCCACACCCTTTTTTCTAAATCGTAATTAATCGCACAGATCTTGTCAATTTTGATGACATGGGATGATTTGAAACGAATGAAGATGTATGCTTTACTTATTTGAATGAAATAATAAAATAGGAATGTATCATTAGCTCGTCATTTATGTCTAGAAACTATATACATGGAAAATATCAAGGGTCAAAAAGCAATCTGTTCAAAAAAAAAGGTCTTGCACAGTTTTCAAGGCTAGATACTATAGAATTATAGACTAACTATAAATTATAAACTAGTTGCGATACTTTCAAAGTTAATATACAAAAATGATTAGCAAATAATAAGTATTGATCTTTATGTTAATTTTATAAAAAAAAACCTACATAAAACGATTTGAAGTAAAAAAATAATAGTTTATTTTAAATATTATTTCCCCCTGAAATTTTATCAACTAAAATATTAAGTGTATTTTGTATATTATTTATTGTATTATTGACATTCGTAAGTTGTTCTTCCATTTTATCTACTTTTACTTCCATTTTTCTTATTTTTATGTTTGTTAATTCTGTTCTAGTGATTGTTTTATGCTGCATTGTTGCTAATTCAACTTGATCGATACTATTATCAATTAAAACTTGTTCTTGTCGTCTAATCGCTTGAACAACTTTTATTGAGCGAAATAATTTTCTTTGTATTCGAAGATAATGAGCAAATGAAAATGATTTAGTATGTCCTTTCCAAACCCATAATTTTAATGCAAATTTGATAATATTTGCTGATTGTTCTTGACGTTCTTTAGTCAATTGGGTATTTAAAACAAAAGAATGTACATATTTTTCTGATCGATCAAGCATTAATTTTTGTGCAAGTACAGCAATAAGAAGTGCACTTGCAAAAAGACCATAGACAGAAACCATACCAGCAACCACTAGTAATTACAATAATATTTCGTTTTTTTTTATTTAAGATATCCTTGACAAAAAAATATAACTTACCTCTTCCACAATGAGTTGATGCAATTAAATCTCCATATCCAAGAGAAGTAAATGTTACAGTAAATAACCACATTGCATCAGACATTGGAAAATGATCATCACCAGAAGGTTTATAATTACAAGCACGTAAAGCCCAACTTCCAATAAGAAATGACATAATACAAATTACCAATAAGCAACGAGTTGGCCATTGTTGAAGATAAATTCTTATGAGAAAGGAAAAATTAATTTTTACTTGATTAAGATAACCAAATGATCGAGACGCTGCATTACGAACCAATTGTGAATGATAGACAATACAACGACATAATAAATAAAGACGAAGAAACACTATTTTAATAGAAATAATTTAATAATTTGTTTTTTGTTTTTGATTAGAAATCATATAGAGATATATGATACTTACTTGGAAGACCAAGAGCAACATCAAGAGATATATAAGTCAAAGGATGTCCTGATGTTGTAGTTATATTATTTTTTGCATCTAGTTCTTGCATACGACTTTCTGTTGGATACGCCAGTGGTATAGGATGAATAAAACAAATAATAACTTCAAATATAATAAATATTATTTTTTTGAATGTTAGCCCAACACGCCAATCTTCAATGCAATTATTAACAGAATATAAAGCTAATTCCAAACGATGATAAACAAGTATAAGAACAACAAGAATTACAGTTGAAAATGTAAGTATTAGTTTGATAAACCAACTAGTGGGTGTGTCTCTGTCATTAATTTGATCGAAAGTTATTTCATTTCCAATAACCATTAATATAATACCCAACATACTAATACCACACGTAAGATCACTTACAAAAGCGCTATAATGAAGATATAAATTTACAATTAAAGATAAAAGAAAATCAACGTTATATTTCTTACAGACGACGATGTAAATATTTTCGTGCAGATAATCGTTCACTCAAATTAGTCACATAAGCGTGTCTTTCGGAAGGTTTTATTGATACTGTACGTCGAAGTTTCCTTTTATTTGATAGTGGATGAGGAATCATATCTAACACTGTTGTTGGTGGTATTGGTTCAGTATATAATGATTCTTTATGAACAAAAGGATTTATCAATGGTTGTTTAGGATCTTGCTCCGAAGCCATCTTTTGAAAAGATAGTTGATTGCAATGGACTGGCGATAAATTTGATTGATGTGATATTAGATTATTTTAGCTTATATGTACGTATTGTATTTTTCATATAGTTACCAGTCATACAATGACGTCGACGAGGTAAAAGAATATATCTACACCTATCTATACCAATAATTTTATCTTTTTTATGTATTTCTTAAGAATAATTGCATAGGTAGAGATATACAAATTGATAATAACACGTGATAAGGTAAGAAAAAATCAAAGTTTATATGATTGGGCGTTATCCCTAATACAACCATAAACATAAAAAATAATGTTAATAAAACTAATATGCGCATGGATATAACAAAGTAATATAGAGTATTATCAATGTGAATGTCTACGATCGATAATAAACATTCATTTATTTTTTTCATATATTAACGTTATTTTATAATGACTAAATAATATGTTTTATTTAAATAGGAAATATAAAAGCAAGATTATAAATGAATAAAAAAAAACGAAAAGCTCTCCCTGGTCCTATGGATATAAAAATCAATATTAACTAATTATCTCCAAAAGAATCGCTTAACCAAACATGTAAATCCACAGTGGCGGATTTAGGATTTTGGAAGGGGGAGAGCGATTTTTTTTGTTTTAGTATGGAGAGGAGATACCTGAGGAGGGGGTGGGCGTTTTTCTTTTTATTATGGAGGGGCTGTACCTGGGGAGGGGGGATGTTTTTTTTGAGTATGGAGAGGCGATACCTGGGGAGGGGGGCCGATCTTGGTTAAAAGCTATTTTCTGAGTCCAACCGAAGTAGTGTGAACCTATTTTTTCGTTCATTTTGCTGTAAAAAATCAAAAAAAAATTCGGAAGGGGGAGCGATCGCTCCCCCTAAATCCGCCATTGGTGTAAGATCAATACTTGTTTCAAAAAAATTTACTAGAAATTCAACTGATAAATCACATTCATTATTAGCTAAAGTTAATGTAGAAATATTTGAGAAAAAATGAACTGATGATAATGATAAATTATTCTAAAATAATCAAATTAATTATATGGGTTTTTTTCTTAATTAATATTAATTTTTACCTCTGTAATTAATGTTGATAAATCAACTGTAAGTCTTGTTACTTTATCCATATAAGATTCATTATTAGATATTGAAGAACGAAATTTAAGAGATGGATTCATTGATGGACGATAATAAAATTGTGTATCACTATAGGGTAATAAACAAAGATGCATCATTGTAGGATTCTTTTGATAATCTAACATAACATACCAAGATTTTTTCTTAAGTCAAAATGATGGGTGTGGGTGGGTGTGAGTATGGGTGGGTGTAGATGAAGGTAGTTATATTATTTCACACCCACACCCACATTCTCAATAGAACATTATCAAGAGAAGCAATTCGCTGACTTGCCTCTCGCGATGTTTATTTTCGCTAATTTCTACATTCGTCGTTTTTATTTTCGCCTATCTAAGTTTTCACAGTTACATGTTTTGCTATAATGCACATTCGTCTAAATCTGGTTTGGCTGTTATGATTTTTCCTCAACGAACACCATATCGTTTACTATAGTAGACATTTATTTCCATTACAAAATTATTTTAAAACTAGTTATTTACTTTAAAATCATAGTTACTTTTTTTATTTTATCTTGGTTTTTTCATGTGATGGAACACATGTTATGTTAAAAAATATAAAAAAAAAAAACAAAACCACACGCACACCCACACGTTGAATAAAACAAAACAAGAAAAAAAAATAACCAAAAAACATGGGTAATCTATATCCCAGTACTTCATTCTTTGAGATCATTTGTCGATTATGCACACGGAAAAGTTATCAAGAGATTCAATGTGCATATATCACAAGATAACTAAAACCATGGGAAGAGTAAATAATAACATAGTTCAGAACATACACACGCACACACACATATATGTTAAATAAAACAAGTATGAAGATTGGAACGAAATAACAAAAAGAAAAAAAAAAATCGAATATTCATTTTTTTTGATGAATAGATCATCTGACTGAGAGAATGAGAAACTGTATAAAAATTTATTCAATATTTTTATACATTTCTTCAATTTCTGTTTCGAAATATTTGCCTAATTCAGGTCGTTTTGTTTTCATTGTTGGTGTTAAAAGATTATTTTCAACGGAAAATTGTTCTGGATGAAGATAAATATCTTTTACCTAGACAAAGAAAATAGGATTCTTCAGAAATAATAATTATTTAAAGATTAACATACCGTTTCGAAACCTTTTAATGAATGAGCTTTTTCTAATTGTTTAAGATCATTAAATATTAAATCTTTAATTTCTTTTTTGTTACATAATGTTACAATATCACCTGTAATTTTATTATCACGAGCATATTTTTCAAGTATCTCAGCATCAGGAACAATAATAGCTACTGTATAACACTATTTAAACAATACATAAATACATATGAAAGAAAAATATCAAATATTTTACTTTATAACCATTGCCATAAACAAATACTTGAGCAATATATTTACTATGAATATAAATATTTTCAATACGTTCAGGTGCAACATATTCACCCTAAAATAAAAAAACTTCGGTAAATCTTGAATTCAAAATCATCGATTATACTAAATTTCTACTCATAAGATTAAACCAAGAGAAAAAGAGCAGAATCTGGAATCCGGATTCCGCTCTTTCCTCCTCGGATTAAACTATTTAATCAAATGTTATTGCATGGCTAATTTTGATTGACTTTCTAATTGATATATAATCCTAATCATGAAAGAACTTACTTAAATAAGTCTTAACTCTTCAAAAAACGAAGAAATATTAGATTATTTTCTATATCTCTATTCGAATAACTCGCTTGACTTAATAACATACTTGTGCTAATTTAAACATATGTTTCTTTCGATCGATGATTTGAATTTGACCAGTCTATAATAAATACAGAAATTTCATAGATAATATTTCTCAAAAAAACCCGATTACTTACAACTGTCCATTTAGCAATATCACCTGTATGTAACCATCCTTCATTATCAAGAGCTTCTTTTGTTTTTTCATCATCTCGATAATAACCTTTAAATACATTTGAACCTTTAATACATAATTCTCCAACATTATCTTTTGCAAAATATTGCATATCAGGTACATCAGCTAATTTAATCATATTACAATGTAATGGTACACCAATATTACCAACAGTTGGATCACCGAGTGTTTGACAGGATGATACACCACAACATTCTGTTTGTCCGTAACCTTCAACAACATAAGCACCGCAAACACTTTTAAGAAATTGAAGAATTGCTGGTGATAATGGTGCAGCACCACTAATAATTACTTTCACGCGACCACCAAGACGTTGTTGAATACGTTTTAAAAGTACACCATCCCAAAGCATATGACGTCTAACACGATGTTGAGCAACATCATTTGTTTTAGCTGATAAAGCCATATTGAATAAATAACGTTTGAATGGACTTAATTGACGAATTGTTGCTTGAATATTATCATACTTAAATAGAAAAATATACAACTTGTATAATTCATTTTTTTATTTATTTTACCATTCGATTAAGAAGTCGAGGTACACATGGCATTACTGTTGGTTTTAAATGAGCAAGATCATCAGCTAATTGACGTACATCACCTAAATAATAACCAATTTTAAAACCATTACATAAGAAAAGAAGCTAAACAAAAACATATATATCTATCTACATAGGATAATTATAACAAAAACTTACTTCAATAGTTTGTTCATATGAATGTGCTAATGGTAAATATGAAATTAATGTTTCCAATCCACCAAAAACAGGTTCCTAGAAAAATTATTTTGCATTTTTTTTTATTTTATTTGTAAAAATTATTTACGAAATGTTCACGTCCAGATTGAGCCAATGAAACAATATTTTTATTTGTTAACATTGCACCTTTTGGTAAACCTGTTGTACCACTTGTATAACAAATTTCAAAGATATCATCAGCTTTAGGTGGCTAAAATAAATATTGAATATATATACATATATAATTCTATTAATCTTATCTTACATGATGTGCTACTGGTTTTGATCGACCAAGTTCCTGAATTATACAAAAAAAATAGAATTATAAAATACATTATTTTAGATTTTTTACTCGTAATTGATTGTATGACATTATTTCAATTCCAACTTCTTGAGCTTTTTTTCTAATTTCATTCTCTTGTTCAGTTGATAATTTTTTTGTAAGTATAATTCGTTTTAATGTTGGAACTTCTTTAATAAGTTTAAGTAAGGTTAAAATATTTTCAGGCTTATCAACAAAAACTGTTTTTAATGAAGCTATATAATAGAAAAAAATAAATTTGTAAGACATAAGTAAATTTTTGTATAAGAATTTCATACTCTGATTAATAATATGAACAATAGCTGGTTCTCCAAGTGTATCATAAAGAGGTACATAAATCATACTATGAAAATGACATGCTATTGCTGTAGTTAACCACTAAAGAAAGCAAATATAAGATTATATATTGAAATTGAATCTTCTTACTTCAACACTATTAGTTGCATAGATACCAATAAATGTATCTTGTCCATGGTTTTCACCTAAATGAATAAGTCCACTACCGATTTCAGTAGCAGTTTGATCTGTCTACAGATGGAAGATATTGATTAGAATGAAAAGATAATATATCATTACTTACTTCATCATATGTTACCCATTGATATTCTGATTGACGATCAACTCGATAACCTAAACATTTTCCATCTCCTAGAAAAAGACATATATGTATATATTATTATATGTAAGTTCTGAAAGAAAGAAATTTACCAAGTTTATTTGAAATATCTTTGCCACATTTAAAACCTTCATAGAATGTTGTAAAAACACGATTGTCTGATTTACCACTAGTAAGTAATGGTCGAGAACCAAGTGATGCAGCAACTCGTGCTTCTGAAGATCCTTGTGCCTAAAAAATAGTTTAGTTAAGAATGAGATCAAATCAAGTGTTTTTCTAATCTATGTTTGATTCAATCTCTTTGACGTCATTATGAATCATAGTTAAATCTTGTCTATTACTAACCTGAGCTGAAATAGTCAGCTTTTGCCAGTCAACATCTTGATAGATTTCTTCACTAGTAAGATCTTCTACAATAAATGATGATAATTTATCCTTATGACGATGAATAACAGCTCCAGCAACAAGAGCTAGTGCACCACCAACAGCTAATGTTGTCTGTAAGGAAGACGAAAGACTATTATCCGATACCATTCTGTCCATTTTTGGTTGTTGTTGTAATTAATTAGTTAATATATATGTGTATGTGCAAACTAGAAAAAGAATGTGAAAAATCAAGAAGCCATACAAAATCGAAATACGCAGTATAAATATATGCTACTACGGTAACGTTGAAAAACTTGAAAGAAGAAAAATAAAAGTGTAGATTCTTCTCCAAATTCCATGTCGTCTATGTGCAGGTGAAGTGGCAAAACAACACCTCGTGTAAGAGAATGGAATTTACGTTATGCAAAGGAGTACTGAAATTATATTATAGTGAACTTTGCATTTTATAAATGAAATCTATGTCTATGCTTTATATACTACGAAAAAACAACAAACTGACTGTTCGTGATTCATCGCCACATCACCGTACGTTATATAGTACTATATATTAACGAGTGAATAATAACGAAACATATGACGAACCTTTTCTTGTTTTCGTGTTGGATAGATTTTATGTAGACTGACCAAGCACTTGCTTAAATGACGATGTATAGCAAAGAATATGATTTAATAGACTGTTTGTATAAACGTGAAAAGAATGGTAACGTCTTGACTGTGGCTGCTGCTTTCGTGGACGCGAAGAAAAGAGTGAGAGAAGAGAACGAAAAACAGTTCCATACAATTAAATGTATGTACAAAAATCTGGAATAGTACGCTTTCAAACATTCTTGACCAATCCAAATACTAGTATTTAGCCTCCTATGTTCATTTGTCCATATAATTGAACATTGATTTATAGATGTTATAATTAGTCTGAGAAAATAATGACGAATTAATATCTTTGGAAATCATGAACTGTCATCGCATATTAGGACGTTTTCTTGACCTCTATACAATCTTATCTCGGATTTAGATCGTTGTACCAATCAAATATGTACAGATGTACAGCTGTTGATAGATACTTTGTTCTACTTTTCTTATTATTTTAATATAAAACGTCGTAATTTCTATGTATGACAAGAATCCTGGAAAGTTCAAAGATTTTAGTATAAAGTACAAAGTACAAAACTGTCCGGTCATTAATCCGTTTCTAATCATAAAATGCATTGCTAACAAAACTCAAACAGCTAGCGCCAACTATCATACTAATGTACATAGCAACATCATATTTCTTTCATTCTGATATTTCTATAATAAAAGATTGTTAAAAAAATCTGTTTTTTAATCCATAGAAACCGTTGAACTAAATGTTGTTCATAGAAACCGTTTTCGATTGATCAAATATCAACCAATAAAACGAAAACTAATTTTAGAACATCAAGATCCGAAAATTATTATCTTATATCTCGTGTTTGAATTATACGCATTACTTTCAGAATAGCAAACAATTTCTAAATATAAAAACTCACTATATAAATCAAAATTCGCAATTTAAATATCATATGAACAAATAGTTATAGATCTTAAAATTTGTTCTAACACATTTTCAGATAATGTCTTTGCAACTACGTTCATCATTGCCATATGAGTGTAATCAAGTACTGCATCCATGGCATAAGAATTGCATTCCAGCTGCATGGATGCTTACAAAACCATGTTTTAGAGAATCATTCAAAATTTATTGTGTTTTATATGGAGTGAGAAATAATTATTTTTGGAATTTTCTTAAGGAAAACTTCATTTATTTAATTAGGTTACAGGATTAATAAAATTAAGAAAAATTAGAACATTAAAAGATTTTCGCAAATTTTTATTTGGATTAGTTAATGATATACTTCAATCAACAGCTTTTCTTGGTACACATGGACTTATTGTTATGCCTGCATATTGTGCTGGACGGTAGAGAAGATAATTAATTAGTTAATTAATAATCTTTTCTATTTATCTAGACGAATACTTGGTGGTATAAATTATTATGGAATGTATTTTCAAAGTTTATGTTGTACTCTTCTTACTATTTCGATCGAACGTAAACAACGGTAAATTATTTCCAAAAAAAAACTAAAATATAAACATTCAATTTTTAATAGACGCGGTGCTTTAGCTCTTTATATGGCTAATTTAGTAAGTTTTATTTTTCATTTATTTCCTATAAGATATGTCTATATGTATATAAATAGGCAGCAGAAGTTTTATTTAAAATGGCCGTTCAACGAAGAATAATCACACCAATTCCTAATGGAGAAGTATAGTTATTCAAAGATCAATTTTTTTATCAAAAGTATATTTATATTCTAGATACTTCTGTTTTCTATTTCTTCAGCAATTTATACATATATGCTAAAGTAGGTGAGATTAAAATATAGATTAATAATAATTAAATATCTTTTTATTTAGAACTACAGCTGAACATAAACATAACAGTTTATTATTTTCGATTGTCAAGTATGTAGAAAAACAAACAAAGGGGGTGGTCGAAAATCACGACTTTTTCCTCGCTCTAGAAATATCATAATACGAAAGTCCTTGTTACCCAGATCACGAATCTGACATCCGTTTGTATAGATCTGATCCTTTTTTTTTCAACAATTTCCAATATTTTATAAGGAAAAATGGGATTTAAACTATTTTACCGTATTTTACTATGTTTTTTTTATTTTGACGATAGCGTCGTCATTTCGCAATAGAATTCAAAACTTTCTTATACGAAAATGATCAGCCAAAAAAGCTCTACAAGGTTTGAGGGAAAAGAAAATTTTCTGAATACTTATTTGTTTGTGTTTGAAATCTCACGGAACTACCCTACTGAGACTCAGGTACCCCACTACGACAAACACGGCAAGAAAGGAATCAGATCTTGACAAACGGATGTCAGATTCGTGATCTGGGTGATAAGGACTTTCGTATTATGACATTTCTCGAGCGAGTAAAAAGTCATGATTTTTCGGCCACCCCCTTTATAAATAGTTTTGAATATATATGATATCTTGAGATTTTTAACTAATTTTAATGTAGTTATCTGTTCGAAAGTTTATTTTATCCTACTTTTTACTTAAGAAAAACCAGAACAGATGAAAAGTACCTACACAGAACTACGTACATCGTTTTAGCTAGATTTTTCCTTTCGAGAGTGCAATAGCGATTTCCGAGAGGGCAAAAACCTAATTGCTGTAGATCAAATACTTAGTATAAACACAAAATTGCAATTTTTGAAACGGCAGAATCGTTCTCTAGGAGGGCGCCGCGATCCCTGCCCTCACGCTAGATAAATCACTGACTATTTATATGTGCTTTGATTTAACAATTCGAGCGAAACTTTTCGTTATATCTTATATTTCAAAACAGAACTTTCTTAAAACTATAACAACAAGCTATACATTGAAATGTGACTTTACCTTTATTATTTAAAATATCCGCTAGGAAATATCCAAAAAATCTCTCGTGGAAATTGCTTACGTCTATATTTGCTATGACAGTATTTATCTTCTTCCGTTTTTTTTTCACTCAGACACTGGTCATAAAACGATAAATCTTATGAAAAAGAGAACAATGACTATACATCTTATAATCTTCGTGGAAAATATATGTTTGCTTTTTAGATTACTCATTGGTAACGAAGAATGTGCTCCTTCATTAAAAATCGAAGAACCTGCCAAACCAAAACGAAAATCAGTATATTTTGCAGTAGTTTATAAATATTTAAAATATATTAAACAATGGCCTAAAATTCAAAATAAAAATCATCCAATATGTAAACATAAATATCATTGTCTTATTCATATACTTCTGGTATACAAAAATATTTATTCATTTAATGAAGAGAAAATTTTTCTTATTCTAGGGTTTTCTAAAACGTTTTTCAGTTGGTGTTTTCATACAATTAATTTTGCATTTTACAAGTTCTCCACTACGATTTTTACGACATCCGACATTATTTTTTTATACATTAAATAGAAATGTATTTAATTTAGGAAAATTTTTTGGTTTTTATTCAGCTATCTATCGAGTATGTTTTATTTCATTATAATTCATGAGTTTTATCATTCCTATTTTTATTCTAGTTAATCAGTTGTTTATTACGTAATATTTTAAAATATGATCGACCTGAACATGGTCTTCTAGCTGGTTATTTAGCCGGATTTTCAATGATATTTTATAAAAGTTCAACTTTAGCCATGTATATGATGGCGAAATTAATTGAAGTTAGTTTTAAAAAAAATGTGACATCTCGTTTTCTTATTATTTTTGTTTATTTATTAGAGTATTTATTTTAAATATGCTGCTGATAAAAAAGTACCAATTATTCCATGGTTTGATTCAGTATTATATGCTTTATCAACTGCACTTGTTTTTCATGCCGCAATTATTGAACCACAAGCAATGCGACCAGCTTATTATAAATTTCTCGAACGTCTTACCGGTGGACATTTTTCTGAAGTTAATCGACCTATGATGGATTGTTTTGGTGTTTGTTCTTCAAAACTGTTTCCAAGTTATAAATTACCATCACTCAAATAACATTTGTTTTTTCTTTTTGTATGACTTCTTTTTTTTTCTATTTTCTTTTTAAATAAAAAAAGAATGCATTTAATTTTCATTAGAACAATTAATTGAATTGTTTTTGATAATAGCGATGAAAATAAAGATCATGGAGTTACATCGATTATACTTTCACACAAGACATACAGAAGTCAAAATGACGCATTACACATGTTGAATAATCGAGAATTTTTATAAACCCATAAAATAATTTTTATGTTTCTTTTTTCTATTTTCTTCATACAAATTATTTTGATTTTTTTTGTTTTCCAATCACTTAATTCTATTTGTTCAGAAGTCATTTGTCCATTTAAAAATATAAAATCGAATATAACTCTTTATTTACTTACTAATCATCAAACCGCAAGTATGATACCTTAATATCAATGATTTTTATCTATATACTCATTGACTCAGGCTGTTATTTACTGTCTTATACTTTTGGAATATCAACAATTCGTTCTCAAGGTGCATCAGTAGCCATAACTTGTACTACTATCATATGGAGAGTCCATAGAAAAGATCAAAGTTTGTTAATGATACATAATGCACTATTATAGAGTGGAAGAATAAGATAAGAATTCTCTGACTGTTAAGTTACAATTTTATTTTTGTTTCTTTTTTACCAAATATAATCGTAAAAAAGACTTTTTGACATTGATCCATGAAAAATGATTTCATGTTACATCATTAACTACTAATAAAGAGAAAAGGAAATGTTAACAAAAATATTTCCTTTTATTTTACATATTGCATATGCATCAATATCGATGCTTATATACATAAAGAAAAAAAAATATATAGAATTTGTTCATTTTCAATAAATCTTTTTCAAATAAAAACATATTTAATTAGCCAATCAGCACATTTAACAATCGCTTTTTCGAGATATTCTTCAAATTCTGCATCCATTATCATATTTTCTTGATCATCTAGAGTTTCAGGTGTTTGAAGATTCTGATGATGATTATTATTATTATTAAGTGTCCTATCACGAGATTGAATTCTTGAACTTAGTAAAGGTTGTGGTTTTAAACTCGATTTTTCTTTAGTTTCAGTTCGTATTAGAGAAGTATGTTGTTCAACTGATGGTTGACGAAACTGTCGTCGAGGAAGTTCAGATATTTTACGAATTAGTGATTTATTTTTAGCTGATCCAAGGCCAGGTGGTGTATATGCTATTGAATTTGATTGCGTTTGAGGTTGTTTAGTAGATTTATTTAATGGTTGATAATTAGACCAAAATATTGATTGTTGATTGTTATTTGTATTCACTATAACAGTTGGACGAGAAGATCGACGAGCAGAAATACGATCATAACGTATATCTCTACTACGATCAACTAATCTTTCAGGAGTTAAAATAGGAAGCTCTGTTCTAGATTGTGAAACACCATTATTATATCCAAAATTTAATTGGCGTATATCCGTATAAACAGCATCAGGAGAAATGAGAGTCAGCCGACTTTTACGTGCTTGAATTGCTCTAATTTTGTTACTAACAGCTACTGGTGCAGCATCAACAAATGTTGGTGAACGAGGAGTAATTAAACCACGACGTCGACGGCTTGATGGAAGAGGTAGTGGTTGAGATAAGACGTTCATAGAAGATCTGAATAAAAGATCGACCATATTTTTATAATAAAATTGTAAAAATAAAAATTTAAAAAATGTTTTGAGTATGTTATTTTTCTTCGTCGTACAAGTTTAAAAAAAACGAGCAAAGCAACCACATATGTTGTTTTCTATCGACAAACAATGTATATACTTAATCAGTAAACTAACAGCTTTTATCCTCTCAAAAAAAAACTTACAACATCAACGATATTTTTGCATGACAATTTGTTTGCGCAAAACAATTAAGGTAATGTAGTCAAAAACACTTTATAATCTAGGTAGTTTATAATTCATTCGTTGACGAAATACGAATGTATCGTATAGTTTACAAGAGTATTTTATGTTCTGACTCATCGAGTATGTCATATACTCGGGGAAAAAAGTGTTTATGTCTTATAACGGTAGTTCTTGTCTATATAATAGCGTCATCTGATTACGAACTGATAACAAGAAGAAAAAAATAATATAATCTGCTAAATTTTTTACTCCTACTAATTTACTACAATTTGAAAGTGAAGCCCAACAATCTATTGAGTCGACCTTATTTCAGCATATAAAAAAATGTAAAATAGTTTCTATTTTCAATTCTCTGATTGCTTTTGTCTCTTCCTTTTTTCTTTTCTTTTCATAATTGATTTTTTTCCTATGACTCTACCATCATAATCAAACAACACTTCTCTTCACATATGTCTATTTGTTTTAAATCATATACTGAATCTATAAAATTAAAAAAAAATATCATGAAAAAAAAATCGACTACTCCCTGTAAAAGAAAGAGAAAAATGAATAACAATAACAAAAAAATGACTTGCTTTAAGGTTGAAATAAAAATTAAAAAACAATTCTGTTCTTTTTTTTTACTTCGAACTATCCTGTCAAGTACTTTGTTCTTCAAAAATAAAAGTTCTTATCATGCAATTAATTCGTAGTGTTTTTGGCAAAACTATCGTACGATTTCTGAAAAATTTACGTTTATAGTAAAGTCAAGAATACCTATCTTTATGTATGTGTGACAACTAGTTTCTTTTTTCTCTCCCTCTCTCTCTTCTTATTCCTAATCAATTATTAATAGTTAATAACCAATTGACACTAGCATGCAAATATTCTGTTGATCAGAAAAAATTTGATTCTAATATGCATTAAAATTCGAATATAAATTCAAGGTATTCTATCATTTGTGCTTCCGACCTCGTCGCTTATTTGAATAAGAATGTAAATAGATGTAACCTTGCGGTTCGATGGTCTCCTTACATTTTTCTATCATGTCTATTTCATGATTTGTTATGTTTTGAAAAAAAATTGATCAGTAAAAACATCGAAATAGACTGATTCTTATTCTGAACTAGTCGACTAGATAAATAAAAATAAATAAATCGATGTTTTTTCTAATATATCGACAAACTATAAAACGTCGCTATGGTATATAAAAAAAAACATAAAGTGTCTTTTAATCAAAATAATAATATTTTTTTAAACTTACGATAATAAATTTAAGAACTTCTTGGATGTATAAATATATATTGATACAAATGATAAATCGTTAAAAGCTTATATACATAGAACTAGACTTTCATATCATTGAAAAAGAATCTACGAAAGAGAATCTATGAAAGAGAAGGAAAAAAGAGATTACAAATTCTACGAGAGACGAAACAGAGGCGAAGAAAATAATTCTTTTCTTCTTTTCTTTTCTTCTCCTTCATGCGTCACATCAGCACATAAATAAAATGAAATACTAACATTATGTTTGTCATGTCTACAAAACATACACCATGATTTGTTTTGGAAACATTCATAATATGCAAATGTTTTTATTCAATTTATTATTCGTATCATATTTTAATTACTTGTATGGTTGCATAAAATATAAGCAATAAAAGTAAAAAAGAAAAAAATGAAGAGTATTTTCTAATTCAATAATTATTATGAAATGCTTGAAAAATTTTATTTAATTACTATTTCTAAGCATCATTACGATTGACATTTAGTATGGGAATTAAGAATAAATATTTGAAGAAACATTGGTATAGAATAATCTTTATTTTCGTTTGGAATATAAGTGATAAGAATATTAGAGAGATATTTTAAGAATTAATTCTTTTATCAGTATAATATTTGCGTATTTTGATTGTTGAGAATTATTGGTTAACTACTAACCTTGATATTTAGTAAAATCTTTCGATAAAATTACATTGATATTGTCTGTCAACTATAAAAGTAGCATCTTTGATTAATTTTTTCCAATTATTATAATGAATATAAGCTTTATTTCACATTAATAAATACTTTTTTTGACTTATATTCTTTTGAACTCAATGTCCATAAAATTTATCATTTTTTTTCTTTTAGTATCTCATATATTTACTTTTTTCTCCAACATAGAATGTCATTAAAGGTTATCACATACTTTTAATTTTTTATTCTTATCGTTGGTTTTTAGTACAAATAAAAACAAAGGTTATATTATAAATTCTCTTGTTGACTTTAACTAAAGTCAAAATAATTACAAATTAAATTGGTATTTTTCTTTTGAATTATTAAACTAAATTTAATATATAATCTATTGGTTTTTTATTAGATTTCTAAATAAATTATTTAGAAAAAATTTCGAAAAATTCTCATAAATAACGGTCCCCAAACTGGTGCAATACGCGATGATTGTTTAAATGTTTCACTTGTTACATGTGTACCATTCTGAAAAAGTCGTTTACATTCATGATGAAATTTTTTACGTAATTCTTGATTATCCGTTATAATAGCTAATTGAGCTTCAAGATCACGTTGAATTGATCGTGCACCTATACAAAAAATATAAATATTCTTATAAAAATAAATAGTAATTTCAAACCAAAATTCGGTGATCCAATACAAGTTAATACAGGATATTCTTTATCTTTTTCATATAACCATAAACCTTTTGCATGATATGTCCATTGCGAACGAAAATATTCAAACATTTGAATTTGTTTATCATTTGAACATTTTTTTTCTGCTCTGTCAATAAATTCACGTTCATTCTCACTATAACCAATTGGTACAAAACGACTTATACCACGGCTACCATAAAATCCATTCGCTTGTGGTGATGCTGTTAATAGAGAAATCTCAGTATCTTTTCGTTTATTATCAATTATTTCATTTTCATATTCTTTTGTCATATTAAAATATGATGTAGCAAGATAAAGTTTTGACTCTATGGGTAAATTTGAATATAGATGTATATTAAAATCGCGATCATTATTGATATTAAACATTCCCATTTGTATTAATGGAATAATAAGTGCTTGATCATTTGATAATGATTTCGGTTTTGGAAAACGTATTTGATATGTTTTCATTAATGATAAGAGATTCTTTTCAACTTCAAGACGATATTGTGCATTGTCACCTTCGTATGGATGATGTTTACCTAAGAAGATTGGTTCATCATGATTAGCTTCAACTTTAAATGATTGTTTTGCGATTGTTTCGATAATGTCAATGAAAAATTTGCATAAATCAGGACAATTATTTAATTTTAAATAACGATCTTGTCGATTATCGAAATAACTTTTATTCAAATTTGCACTAGTTAAAAGAAAAACGAGTTTAAAATTTCGATTTCTTTTAAAATAAATTAGTTATTTTTACCCACTTATAATTAATGTATTATCAGCCATGTAAATCTTCATATGTTGTACACCCCATGATTCATTAAATCGATTTGGGATGATTTTACGTAGAAAACCATGAAGTAATGGAGTATGAAAAAGATAGAAATCAACTTGAGATGAATATTTTTGAATTAACGGAAGAAACATTGATTTTGAAGTTGTTTTTTCTTGATGATTATCTATACGACTACCACGTAAATAATCAAGTAATACAACTAAACGAACAGATGGATCTTTATCAAGTGCTGATCGAATTGAATCAATCTAATTTAAGAAAAAAATTCTTTTTGATTTACATCAAGAAAACAATCTATTTACTAATTCATATTCATATGGATCAGTACCAAAATAAAGTGACGAGATGTAAATACGTTTTTTAGCATTAGAAAATGTTTTATTTAATTCTTTAAAAAAATCGCATGGTTCGTAAAGTACATCACAATTGGATGCTGGTACAATAAATGATGGTCCATAATTTGAAATCCAATTGAATTGATTTAAACATGAAGAAGAAGTATTCATCTACAACAAACAAACAAGAAGTACAAAATCAATCAATGATTATGAACACAAGAAAAAAATGAAGTATATCTTTATTATTGTTTGTCAAAATAAATGTTTTTAGATAGGTTGTATTTTGAAATGTAAACTAATAAGTGAAAAGACAAAACATTTCAAATCTTGAACCAAATAATAAAAACACCGTAAACCATCTGGATCACGGCTATTATTAATATCAATCAATGAACCTATTTTTGCTGTTGTAAATGAAATATGTTCATCACCAAGAACGATTTCTAATTCCTGTCGACCATTACGATCTTGTGGTGGCCTAAAAATATATTCAATACAATCAATATAATTCTAAAGAAATCATATATGAAGATACTCCAATCAATAGGTTTGCTACAAGCGGGCAAGTACGGACTTGTACGAGTATCGAGAAATCCGCACTCGAATACTGACCTTTCGAGTACTAGTCCTTCGAGTACGAGTACTCACCTTCAGAGCGCGAGTACGAGTCCTCCGAGTATAGGTACTGACCCTCTGAGTAAGAGTACTAGCCCTTCAAGTGCGAGTACTTCAGGTATTTTGTCTGACTTTTGTTTAAAATATTCTTTTCCAGATGTATGCTTAATAATTAGTTTTTTAAAGAAATTTATTGTAAGAGGAATATACACAGATTCTTTGCTATCAATCATTTTAAGAAAATTCAGCGAAGCTTCTTCTTTTAGAATATATATGCCGTAGGCTATACTCAGATTCAGGCTAATCTCAGCTTGACCTAGCCCAATCCTAGAATCGGCTGGTCCAATCAACGACTGGCCGTACAAAACTAGGTGATTATAGGATTGGACTAAGCCAATCTGAGATTGGCCTGATCCGAGACTGGCCTACGACTTATACATTCAATCGACTATTTCAGGTCAATTTTAATCTTAATTTCCATTGTAGTAAGTAGAAAAATGTTCTCCGGGTGACATAAATAAATTAGAAACTAGATTAACTCACCAGACAGCATCATCTTCTTTCATAATATCCGATTCACTAACAATTCGTTTAAATTCTTCCATAACTGATCGATTAACATATACTTCTTTTCTAATTAAAGTATCTTTTTTATAATTTGAATTATTTGCATAACGTAATTTTCCATCAGGTCGAAATTCGAATTCAAGAAATTCATGGCCAAATTTTCCTTTATGTCCAACATAATAACGTAAATAGAAGTCATCATTTGTTTCCGTCATAATTTTTTTCTTTTATTAAAAATCTAGAAAACAAAAAAAGAAAAGAAA